AAAAAACTATATTATTAAACCAAATATAAATTACTTCGTTATTGTACATAAATTAAATTATAAAAAATTTGAATTAAAAACTTACACAAAAAAATGAGTAATTTCAAATAGTTAATTTGATACTAATATCGATATATTTTTGTCAATATTTTATGATATCTTTAAACATATATTTTATTCAAAAATAAAAACATCATCGGTTTCTCAAAATCACATAAAGCCATATTATAACATCTACTGAGATAAAGAATAAAATGAAATATTAAAATCATGATGTATCTCGCTGCATTGTGCGAGTACGCTTCTAGTATATATATATATATATATATATATATATATATATATATATATATACAAGAGCATAATCAAATGAGAAGTAATTAGTTTGTGTTAACTGTAAGGTCCAATATGAGTCAATCATTTTATTATATTAATTGTATTACCTTAATTAAAAAAATGTTTATTAGTAATTTTATTAATATTTTTCATAACGGTTATCAATCAAAGAGATTGATATTGTTTCCTTATTAATAAAAAATTATGGAAGTTCATTCACCATATCATCAACTATGTGCAATCATCGCAGAAACAAGGTAAAGTATAATAAAATTATAATCAAATCCCCCATTTTGATTCGTTTAAAAAGCTGCAAGCCTCTTATATTCTTTGTAATCTATGTGTATCACAGTTGTATTCATCAACCGGATTTGGTATCATAGTGTGTATCACAGTGTATTTTTGTCGTTATACGAAGTGTATCACATTATATTTTTGTTGTTTTACGAAGTGTATTACATTATATTTTTGTTGTTTTACGAAGTGTAACACGATATATCAGGTAATGTTTTGTTTACCAAGTGTATCACACTGTGTTTTTTTTATGAACGTATCACAGTGTGCATCATGTGTTGATATAATGTTCGTTGGAGAGGAGGTGTTTGATTGAGAGAGTTGAAAGGAGAGAGAAGAGAGGAGAGAAGAGATATCTAAAATGTTTTTAATTAATATTTTAAGTTAAAATTATCAAAATTATTAATTTCCTAAATTAACCTTTGATTTGTGGTTGAGATTGGATTTCACGGTTACCACAAACTAATCGGTTCTTTCTTGAATGGCCCCCTATATATACATATACATACACACATACACACACACACACACACATATATATATATATATATATATATTATCCTTTACATATTATCTACCCCTTACTTCATTTCCAACACTAATATCATTTTTTTCATCCTCCTCCTCCTCCTCCTCCTTCAATTAAGAGACCCTCCTGGCCTAACCCTAGACACTATATTTCTTGATTTAATTACTCTTATTCCGTTTTATAGTTTACAGATGTGGATTGGCTTCCAAATTTCCATTTAACAGGGGCATCCTATCCCAATTGATTTGATTGATGTATGTTGGACGAAGCTTGATTTATCATCGTGCCAATCTTTACAAGATGATGATTTTGGTTGTGAAGATGAAGTCCAAATGTTTATCGAGGAATTTAAAAAACAATCAATGCATCAAAAACATGGGTTCGTGAACCAGTTGTTAACATGACTACTCGTGGATGTCCCTCGTTGAAGGATAAACTTTTCAGAAAACCTCATGTTGATCCGTTTTTTACAGCTAAGGTTGATCTGTCTTTTACAACTCATGTTGATCCGTCTTTTACAGCTAAAAGACCCCTTAGACTTAGTTGTTCGAACATGTCATCATTTGTTGACTTGAATGAAATAAGCTATCAGGAACCAACGAGACATAGTTTTTTCTTCAACAATAATTATAATGCACATCAATATATTAATCAATTTCCATAAATGTTTCACCCTTACATCAGAGAGGTACATGATGTGAGAAGTGATGGAAATTATGGATTCCGAGCAATAATTGTCCACCTTGGTCTTCATTAAGATGCAAGGCCAACAATTCGGTTTAACTTGATGGAAGAGTTAGATGCATACAAGACAGAATACCTCAACATATTTGGAAGTAAATATTGGAATACAGTATACAGTATTTTAAACTTTTTTCAATCAGATCGAGGTACCCCAATTGAACATTGGATGACAATGTCTGAAATCGGTGTCCTGATTGCTTCAAAGTATAATGTGATCTTACACGTTATAGACATTACAGATTGTTCAACATACTTACTGCATAGGTCTACTCCACCACCGTGGTATCAACATGCAAGTTTTGCAATTGGGTACGTTAATTGTAACCATTATGTGAAACTAGACTTGGCAGAAGAATACCCGATCCCAACTATTACTCCACATTTTTTTCATTTCTGCTATACGTGTGCTGCTGCATGGGCTACCCCGTATTTAGATCAAATAAATAAGTACCCGCAACTTTTACGTGTTAATTGTACTACAAATAATGTTATTTTAGAATAAGTAAAAATGTTATATAAATTATGTTACGTCTTTTTTGTATATCAAATCTCATTTTTTTATGTTTTGTTTTTATAATTATATAATTATTTAAAAAAATAATAGTAATGTTTATATTAATAAGTATTTATTTATGTTTAAATAATTTAAAAAGTAAAAAAAGAAAAAAAAACCTCAACATATATAACGAAATGTTTATTATAAAGATTACAATTAATTATTTTGTTAGAACTCGATAATTATCTTAATTATATTTTAGATTTTAAAATAAGATGTTTATCTTTTATTTGATTATTTTTATCCGTAGTTAGTTATACGAATTCAAACATCGAACTTTAATAAGTTGTACTTATGCATAATTACTTGTAATATTGAATTTTAAGTAATATGCATTAATATACAGTACTTCATATATAAAAAGTGATTTTTAAAAGTTTTTATCAAATGCTTTATAATATAGTATATATATGTATGAAAAAAAAACAAAAGGTAAAAAAACAGAAAAACAAAATAGTGGGGATAGGAATTAGGGATGTCATTGATACACCTCAAGGATTCCATTAACGATCTCCCTTTCATAAATAGACATGACATCGATTCTTTATAAAGCATGATTAATAAATGGAGATGAAATTAAAAGTCACCAAAAAAAAATGGAAAAGAGGAGCAGAGTGTGGGAGGGTGCGTGTGTGAATTTGGTGTGTGGCGACGACTTTTCCACAACTTGGAGAAATAGCAGCTGATGCTCTCCACCATCCAAAAATTTAAAAATCACAACCAAAACTCCAATTCCAGCTCTGCTTCTCTCCGATTATGTCTTCCTGAGCCCCCACACACACTTCTTTTGGATTCAATTTCGAGTTCAATCAATTACGGAATATGGTTCTTCCAAACAAATTCCCCTGTAAGGTAGGCTCCACGCTTCAATTCCACTTTTTCCTTTTTCTTCAATTTTGTTTTACATTAATTAATCATCATTTTCATTTGGGTCTTCTGTTACAGTGATTTCGAAGCTACAATCGTTGATTTTATTGAAATATCGGTAGAGAAGTTTGTCTGGATTTGACTCCCAGAGTTTACTGGTATGCCGTCTATACGCAATCTCTGATTTGAAAAATACAGGATTTGGGATTATTTATCGTTTGATTTTTGCAATTTGAATCAGTTTAATTTGCTTGATTCTTTGTTGTATGCTGTGAGGAGATTAGTCGATATGATACGTTTTGAGTTCATTACGGAGATGATTGCTTATAAACCATACGACCATTCCAGTCTTTTCAATTTGCCAATCGCCTACGAGATTACAAAGCTTCTAAAACCCCAAACCCTTATTCCGTTACAAATTACGCCTTCATGTCATATATCTTAAATTTGTTGGTGGGAAATTGTAGTGATGGTGTTGAGCCAAAATCAATATCTTGATCCATTTAATTTGTCTTTTTTGTTTCCTTTTGATCCTTATCTGATCTTCCTACTATTTTGGTAATGATAACAAAACAAAAAAAATGGAGGAAGATTGAAGATGAAGAAAGATTTTGTACTTTGTAGGGTAATCTGGAAGTAAATGAAGTACTTCAATTTGGTTGATATTAAAACCAGGAGACCTATATGCTTTCTTTTTTAGAATTTTGAAAACTATATGATATTTGAAATACTACACAACCAAGATTGTACTTCTTTTGTTGGCTCCACCTCATGAAAGTTTGCAAAAAGATCTCCATTTGGGATGTCCCATGAAAATTACTTAGTTTTCTTGATAAATTTTCAAGCTAATATCTGTCATGACTGCAAATTATTGATGGTATTGATTGTCATCGAAACCAAACCTACCCAATGTATCTAATTGATTGCTATCCCTACAAATTTGAAGCTAATATTACCTGCTTGTTGCTTGCCACCCCTTCTATTGTCATTGTTCAATACATTTTAGGGTTTTGATTGATGATCAGTTACTCGATAGGAGCTTCGCATGCAATGACCCCCATAGAGGCATTTGGTTTTTCGATACTTAGATTCTAAATGCCATCTACAAACTTGTAGGAATTCCCATTGAACTATGAACGGCAAAGAGGTAATAACTAATAAAGCATCCGTAGGGTTTTGTTCGACATCTGAGTTATTGGTTGTGAATTCCGTTCTAGTCTCACTGTTGTTACACCAGTATCAATTCATTGAATCATTAGTGTAGAATGTTTACCTTCATTGGTATCATATTAAATCCTTCAACATGGTTTCAATTGTGATTTCACAATTCTGACCAGGAATTTGATTGCCATTACTGACTCCAGTGCAGCATATGTGTTGATCTACCTCAGTGCTGTTTGTTACCCAATCATATATTTCTACTCAAAAGGCTAAATTATGAGTGCCTGTTTGATGAAATTTCAGATCTGAACTTTCTGGAATGGATGAAATGGAGGTTCTCGTAGAGGGTTCAACTACAAATGGTGAAGGTTTTACAAATTTACCAAATAATCCCATTTCAGGTGTCTCAATACCCGCAGAGAATACTTCTGATGGCCCTGAAACTGAACAAAAAACCTCCATTGATCCAAAACCATCTGATCTAGCATTTGACAATCTTTCTACATCCTCAGAAACAAAACCTGATGGAACAGAAAAGGATGGCCCCACAAGTAATACTCTTGTTCAAGAAGCAGCTTTATCATCTGCACCAAAACCAAATGATGGGTTGCCGAATGACTCCCTTAGCTGTGTTGATACTCCCAAAAGTACAGAATCACCTTCAGGACTTGCAAAGCTAGAAAATAACAAGTCTTTGGTGGTGGCCAATGATGATCCTCCGCAGGTTGAGATGGGTGGTCCTGTTAAACAACTCAAGAACATGAGTTCAAAAGTAGGAGATATTGATACAGCTGCACCTTTTGAATCTGTTAAAGAAGCTGTTTCCAAGTTCGGTGGCATTGTTGACTGGAAAGCCCATAGAGTTCAAACTGCGGAGGTATAATCTTCTTCCATTTGCCTTATAAACATTTAGTGTTTCTATATTTGGGAAGTTCTCAAGTAAATATTACAAAATTTTGATGATGCATAGTTGGGAGGAAAGATCAAATAAGAACCATAAATATTTTGAGAACCAATATATGCATTGATGCACATACACTTTCTGAATTTTAGTGAGTATATACACCAATGCATATGTAATAAATATACATTCATGAATATACTAATCGACAGAATATGTATTTTGGTAGTGTAGATGCAATCCGTTGATATACATATACTGGTTTTCATGGTTCTCAAAATACATATGGTTCTCATTTGAACTTTCCAGTTGAGTTGGGTGCACAACAGTTGCTGATTTCATACCATTGGGGTATTTTAGTATTTTAGATATCTGGTGAGTCGGGATTGTGGTTTACTGTAAATTTTTGTTGGCCATTTAGAAACGCAAGCATATAGAACAAGAACTTGAGAAGGCAAATGAGGAGATTCCGTTGTTCAAGAAGAAGTCGGAAGTGGCTGAGGAAGCCAAACTGCAGGTGTTAAAGGAGCTAGATAGCACCAAGAGGCTCATAGAAGAATTGAAACTGAACCTGGAGAGAGCACAAACTGAAGAACATCAAGCTAAACAAGACTCCGAACTTGTCAGGCTAAGAGTTGAAGAAATGGAGCAAGGAATTGCCGACGACTCTAGCGTTGCCGCCAAGGCACAGCTCGAGGTTGCCCAAGCTAGACACGCAGCTGCAGTTTCAGAGCTGGTAACTGTTAAAAAGGAGCTCGAAGATCTCCAAAAAGACTATGCTGTATTGGTGTCTGAAAAAGATATAGCTGTAAAGAAAGCTCGGGAGGCAGCATCTGCATCAAAAGAAGTGGAGAAAACGGTGGAAAACCTGACCATCGAACTGATGATGACAAAAGAATCTTTAGAATCAACCCATGCTGCTCATTTGGAGGCCGAAGAACACCGAATTGGCGCAGCTATGGCACGAGAGCAAGACGCTCTGAATTGGGAACGAGAATTGAAACAAGCAGAAGAGGAATTCAAGAAGGTCAACCAACAGATCGTTTCGACTAAAGATCGCAAATCCAAACTAGATACTGCTTCAGCTTTGCTTCAGGACTTGAAAACCGAATTGGCGGTTTATATGCAATCAAAGTTGACTCAAGATGATAATAATAACAACGCCCAGAATGATATAGAAGCGGCAAAGAAGAATGTCGAAGAGGTGAAACAAAGTATTGCAAAAGCAACAGAGGAGATCGATTACTTAAAAACGGCTGCCAGTTCTCTAAAATCTGAGCTCGAGAGAGAAAAGACAGCACTCGCCACCATTAGACAGAGAGAAGGGATGGCATCTGTTGCAGTTGCTTCTCTTGAAGCGGAACTAAACCGAACAAGATCAGAAATTGCTCTAATTCAAGCAAAAGAAAAGGAGGCCCGCGAAAAAATGGTGGAAATCCCAAAACAACTACAGAGAGCGGCCGAAGAAGCCGATCAAGCAAAAACAGTGGTGCAAAAAGCTCATGAAGAGCTAAAGAAAGCGAAAGAAACAGTAGAACAAGCAAAAGGTGGAGCAAGAACCATGGCAAGCAGACTACTTGCTGCACAGAAGGAGATAGAAGCAGCAAAAGCTTCAGAAAAGTTGGCAATGGCAGCCATTGATGCACTCCATGGGAGCGTATCTGCTGATAACGAGCTGGAACCTGGAGTTACCCTTTCTGTAGAGGAATATTATGAGCTAAGTAAGAAAGCCCATGAAGCAGAAGAGGAAGCTAACAAAAGGGTAGCAGAAGCAATCTCGCAAATTGATGTTGCAAAAGAGTCTGAATCGAAAAGCTTAAGTAAACTCGAAGAAATGAAGTTAGAATTGGGTGCAAGAAAGCAAGATCTTGATGGCGCATTACAGAAGGCCGAAAAGGCAAAAGAAGGAAAACTGGGAGTAGAGCAGGATTTGAGGAAGTGGAGGGCTGAACACGAGCAAAGGCGGAAATCCGGTGCAAGAGAAAGTTTTGAAGTGGCGAAGAATGTGGTTAGCACTTCGCCCCAGATTCCAAGGCCGAGCGTAAAGACGGTTTTGCCAGAAAGTAACAGCAACACAACGGAATCATCACCGGAGGTGAGGGGGGGTTTGAAGAAAAAGAAACGGTCGTTTTTCCCGCGGATTTTTATGCTGTTGAGAAGGAAGAAATCGGAGTCGTTTAAGAGAGGTTAAAGGTAAAGGGGTGTTGATTTTGATTGTATATGTAATGTAATAATGTTGTTGTTGTTGTTGGTTTTGATTTGGTGATAAGGGAATTGGGGTTTGATTTTGTATGCTTCATTCGTCTCATAATATTTGTGTCAAAAGTTTGTTGGTCTGAATACAAGATTTGGGTTTTTCTTTTCTTCCACAATTCGCATTTATTCAAAATCTCGTACGTGTTTTTGTTTTCTTATTCTAATCTCGTCTTCATTTTTTCTTCTTGTTATCATTTATTTTCTCATTATGTGAAACGGGTTTCATCGGGGGTTCTATTTTCTCGTTATGTAAAACGGGTTTCATCGGGATTTTTATTTTCTCATTATGTAAAACGCGTTTCGTCGGGATTTTAACCGATCTCGTGTGAACCAGGTCCGATCATCGTCAATTTTTGCAACTAGTCCTAGTCGTAACCGGCTCCTCATAAAAGAAATCATAACCGCAGTGTTTTATAATTAAAAGTAACCTTATTAAAAACACAACCCAAATTAAAAATTGATTTAATTAGGTTACTTTTTTTTAGAAAGTCTTTCATAAAAATATTTTTTTTCGGATCCAATGACACATTTAACTGAATTTAAACAAATTGTTTAGATGTTATTTTTAGGATTTGGAGTAGATTCAAATGCTTTTGAATTAAATAATTAATTTTAGTTATAAATTCTTATATGTTAATCTTATAGATATAAAAGAAAACCAAAAGAAATGACATGACACAACATGGATTTAATAATTCCAAAATATTGAATTGTGGTTAACTTTAGTGATCTTATACCGATAAAAAAGATAATATGTTAGAAAATGGAGGTGATTATATAAGAAGGATGATGCCAACTTTTTTTACATGATTTTTATTTATTGATTTATTTTAATCCATTTTAGATCAAATAGTTAAATTTAGTTATATATTCCTTTATGTTAAATGGATATTACAATATAATTAATAAGAAACATTTATTTCATTTCATGTTGTTTATTTTTATATCTTTATATTTATGTATATAAAAGTAAGAACCAAGAGAAATGACATAGCACATTGTGGATTGAGAATTCTAAAATATTGAATTGTGATTAACTTTGGCTATCTCATATTGATAAAAGGTTTTGACATACTTGAGAAGATTTCTAACAATAATGGACACTGGGCAAATCCACGTGCACTAATACCTAGAAAAACAGTAGGGGTACATGAGGTAGATGCTTACACAACATTAACAACCCATCTCACTAATACGACTTCTTTGATTAAAAATCTAACTGTTAGCCCACCTGTTCAGCCTAATGCCCCTACCTCTATTCCTACTGTTCTTTATGTACAATGTGTGTATTGTGGTGATGACCACTCTTTTGAACAATGTCCTAGAAATCCTGAACGATTGAATTATGTCAGTAACAATAAGAGTGGACCTCTTTCACAAACTTACAATCATGTATGGAGACAGCATCCAAAATTTCCATGGCATAGTCCAGCTCTTAACCCACCAATGTCAAAGTTGCAAGAACAGTCCAATTTTCAACCACAAAACAGTCCAATTTTCACTTACAATCACACCACGTAAGATAAATAAACCGGACACCCTAAGAAACTAATGAACCTTGGGGAGCTGGCCATGCCCGAAGTCGTTACCTTAACCGCAAGGAGGGGGATGCCGAAGGCAGGGCTAGAAAAGACAAATCTCTTATGATACACCAGATCCAGCTCGGTATAGACCAACTTTACAGTTCAGCCATTCGTCAATTCGGGTCTATTTGAAATAAAATGGACTCAAGTAGGGTTTTCTGTAACGTATGAAATCTTCTAAGATGTTAACAGGTAAAAGAATTGGAGTTGGTTGAATTGCCAAGGATATAAGTCCAACATTTATTCCTTAGCACTCAAAATAACCAACAGGCTAATTTTCAATCTTAAAATCAACAGCCTTCTTTCCAACAAAGACCTAATCAGCATCCCGAACCATCTACTTCTTTGGAAGCAATGATGAAAGGGTTCATGACCCAAACTCAGGCATCAATCAAAAATCTTGAAACATGGGTCAAATAGCTTTGAAAATGAGGAAAAGACTAATAGGATCCCTACCTAGTGACACTGAGACACCTCGGAGGATTAGAAAAAAGCATGTTAAGGTTGTAACCTTGAGGAGTGGAAAGAATTTAACAGAAAATGCGCAAAAAGATTCATAAAATCTAGACAAAGTAGAACCTGAAAAGAATTCCATAACATCAACTTCTGCTACTTTACCCTTAGAACAACCATGTGATATCCATGGCCCCAAAATTACAAGTAAGACCACTGATTCCACAACCATTCCAGAAAAATCGGATTTTTCCCTGTTATTTCCAAATGAATCCACAATAGTACAGAAACCACAAGATAGAATTACTATGGATTTGTCACACTCTGGTAGCAGTCCAACAGTACTTCCTGAAAAACCATCTCAGACTAAATCCATTGTTGAACCTGTTTTAAAAACCCCTTCAGCACCTACACTTCAAAAGAATACGTCTCTTACTCCAGTCACACCTTATATTCCTTATCCTCAAAGGTTAAGGAATCAAAAGGAGCAATTGGATTTTAAAAAGTTTCTTGATGTTCTTAAGCAGTTGCATATAAACATACCTTTGGTGGAAGCCATCAAACAAATGCCAAGTTATGCAAAATTTCTAAAAGACATTTTGAACAAAAAGAAAAAGTTGTCTGCGTATGAACTGTAGCTCTAACTGAAGGGTGTAGTGCTTTGTTGTCCAACAAAATTCCTCCTAAGCTTAAAGAGGTAGTTTCACCGTACCTTGTTCAATAGGAGGAAAAGAAATAGGAAAGGTCTTATGTGACTTAGGTTCCAATATAAACCTTATGCCTCTAATCTGTTTTCAACACTTTAGGCATAGGTGAAGCTAGGCCCACCAATGTTACACTTTAGTTAGCTGATAAGTCTATAGCCTATCCTAAAGGAAAGATTGATGATGTCTTAGTTCAGGTTGATAAGTTTATTTTTCAAGCTGATTTTATCATCCTAGACTTTGAAGCTGACAAAGAGATCCCCATCATTTTAGGAAGACCTTTCCTAGTCACTGGAAGACCCTGATAGATGTACAGAAGGGAGAGTTAACAATGAGAGTCCAAGACCAAAAATTGACTTTCAATGTGTTTAATTCCCTTAAGTATCCTGAAGAAAAACAGGATTGTTCAGCTTTGAGTTTGATAGAATCTTGGAATCAAGAAAAGAGTTTGGGGGAAATTTTGGGAATAGATGAGTCTGATAGTGATGAAGAAGAAGAAGAATTTGAGGATTTAGAATCACCACATGAATTTGCTGCTTTTGAAGTATTAGAGACTGAGGATAGGAAAACCCTTGTTCCTTTCTTAGAAGTTGCTCCAGACTTAGAGTTGAAACAACTTTCCTCACACCTGAAGTATGCATTTTTAAGAGAACCAGGAAGTTTCCAGTCATAATTTCATCATCATTAGAGTCAGACCAAGAAGAGAAGTTGGTCAATATGTTAAAACTCCATACTAAATCCATAGGATGGACCATTACTGATTTGAAGAGCATAAGCCCTACCATTTGTCAACATAATCATTTTAGAAAATAAGAACTTCAACTCCATACAGCCTCAAAGAAGGCTTAATCCTGTGATGAAGGAGGTTGTTAAAAAAGAAAATTCTAAAATGGTTAGATAATGGCGTAATCTCTCCTATTGCTAGTAATTATTATGTTAGTCCGCTACAGTGTGTACCCAAGAAAGGAGGAGTTACAGTGGTCCCAAATGAGAAGAATGAACTTACACCTACTGGTATAGTGATAGGTTGGAGGATTTGTATGGATTACAGAAGGTTTAACAAAGTCACTCAAAAAGACCATTTTTCATTACATTTCATTGACCAGATGCTAGACAGATTAGCAGAAAAAGAGTTTTATTGTTTTTTAGATGGGTACTCTGGTTACAAACAAATTGCAATTACACTGGATGACCAAGAAAAGACCACTTTCACATGCCCCTATGGAACTTTTGCCTTTAGAAGAATGTCTTTTGGTTCTGTAATGCCCCTGCCACTTTCCAGAGGTGTATGATATCCATTTTTTCTGATATGTTGGAACACTCAATGGAAATCTTCATGGATGATTTTTTTTTTTTTGTGTATGGGACGTCATATGATCTATGTTTATAAAACCTTGAAAAAAGTCTTGAAATATGTGAAGAAATAGACTTGGTTTTAAACTGGGAAAATGTCATTTTATGGTTAAAGAAGGCATTGTGTTAGGACATATCATATCAAAAAGAGGCATTGAAGTTGATAATGCAAAGTTAGAGGTGATTGAAAAATTACCTAAACCAACAGCTGTTAAGGGAATCAGAAGTTTCTTAGAACATGCTGGTTTTTATAGGAGGTTCATTAAAGATTTTTCAAAAATTTCAAAACCTCTTTGTTTACTAGTACAACATGATCATGTGCTCAATTTTGATGAAGATTGTAAGAAGGCTTTTAAAATATTAAAAGAAGCGCTGGTTAATGCCCCTGTAGTAGTAACACCTGATTGATCTCAACCTTTTGAAATAATGTGTGATGTTAGTGACTGGGCAGTATGAGTTGTGTTAGGCCAAAAGAGAGAAAAGATTTTCCACCCAATTTATTATGCAAACAGAACTCTCAATGAAGCTCAAATCAATTACACCACTACTGAAAAGAAATTATTAACTGTGGTTTTTTCTTTTGAAAAATTCAGATCATACTTGATGGGAACTAAGGTAATTGTTCATACTGATCATTCTGCCATCAAGTACCTCATTTCTAAAAAAGATGCAAAACCTAGGTTAATAAGGTGGGTCTTGTTGCTGCAAGAGTTTGATTTGGAAATCATTGACAGGAAAGATGTGGATAATCAAGTGGTTGACCATTTGTCTAGGTTAGAAAAATAAGACAAACCTATACAGAGTAGTGACATTTATAAAGTATTTCTTGATGAAAGGATCTTGGACCTAAACATTACAGTACCATGGTTTGTTGATCTTGTTAATTATTTAGCTTGTGGGATCATTCCCAAAGAGCTAAATAAGCACCAAAAAAGAAAGCTCATCTTTGATTCAAAGAAATATTTGTGAGATGACCCTTTCTTTTTTAAAATTTGTACAGATCAAGTGATTAGAAGATTCATTCTAAAAGAGAAAGTGATCTCAGTTCTTAAGCACTGTCATTCAGGGCCATGTGGAGGACATTTTGGAGGAAGTAGGACAACTGCAAAGGTTCTACAATCAGGGTTTATTCTGGCCTACTTTGCACAATAATGCCAACAACTTTGTAAAAAGTTATAATGAGTGTCAAAGGAGTAGAAACATTTTTCAAAAGAATGAAATGCCTTTAAACAAAATTCTAGAAGTAGAATTATTTGATGTTTGGGGTATAGATTTCATGGGTCCATTTCTTCTCTCCAATAAGTGTTCATACATACTGGTTGTTGTTGACTATGTATCTAAATCGGTGCAATGATGCTAAGACTGTCATCAAGTTCCTACATAAGCACATTTTCACAATATTCGGTACACCACGTGCCTTGATTAGTGACGAGGGCACATACTTCATAAATAATTTGTTGGAAGAAACTCTGGAAAAGTGTGACATAAAGCACAGGGTAGCCACAACCTACCATCCTAAAACCAATGCAGAATTATCAAATAGGGAGATAAAGGAAATTTTAGCAAAAGTAGTCAAACCACACAGAAGGGACTACGCATCCAAATTGGATGATGCCCTATGGGCTTACCGAACTGCTTTCAAAACCCCTATTGGAATGTCTCCCTATAAGTTGATTTTTGGTAAAGCTTGTCATTTGCCTCTAGAGTTGGAACATAAAGCCTACTGGGCCATCAAAGAACTAAACATGAGTTTAGATGAGGCAGGGAAGAAAAGATATCTACAGTTGAGTGAATTGGAAGAACATAGGAATTATTCCTATGAAAATGCGAAGCTTTATAAAGAAAATACCAAGAAATGGCATGACAAGAAAATTCTTCCAAAGGACTTCACAGAAGGTCAACATGTACTTCTGTTTAATTCAAGATTCAAACTGTTTCCTGGAAAGCAAAACTCAAGATGGACTGGACTTTTTTACCCTCATGGCATAATTGAATTAATTGATCCTAATAAGAGTATCACTTTTAAAGTGAACGGACAAAGGGTAAAACCATTTTTTGATCCCTTAGTAATTATGCAACAACCTTCCAAGGTTGTTCATTTTGAAAACTAAAACGCATGAAATTTGCGGGCATTTGGTAAAGCCAAATTGTATGTATATGTTCTTTCTTTTAGATTTAGCTTTTTAATTTTTCAGCCACATTTTGAAAACCACAAATTAACCGAAAATCATTTTTTTTGTAAATGAACTATGTATTTTCGGTATAATTTTGCAAAAACAATGTTTGGTGCACAAAATTTCAAGTTTTATAAAATTGTTCAAAATAATTTTACGAGATATGAACTTTTGTGTTACCATAAAATTTGGTTTATAAAATGTGGGCCTTTTCTTTATTTTTAATTTTCGGTCCAAGAGGAGAAATTGAAATTTAATCTTGGCCCCATTAGATTTAATTTGGGCCGATTGCAAACTGGGACAATGATTTTTTGATTAACAATTGCGCAGGCCTAATCTCTTTTGCTTAAGGATTGTCTTATGTTAGGAAGCCTACATGAAATCGGATATGATCTGAACAAAAAAAGGGTCAAGCTCATTTAATGCTGATTGGAATCGGGAAGACAAAGTACTGGAGGCAGTATCGGTTTTTCATGCAGGAGAGGCAGACGAAAAGACTTCATCTTTTCAAATCAAACGATTCCTCTCCCAACTCTCTCTGATTTCTATGACTGATACCTCACTACCAGAGTCGACCTCCCTGTCGTACACCGCTCTTTCTTCGTCGGAACAGGCAAGTCAACCTGCTGTACCCATCCCGTCTCCCACCTATTCACTGTTCCGATAACCTAGTCATCTCGTACCATTGTAAACCTAACCATGGTCATTACAAAATCCAAAGCCAGGCATCGACAAGACCTACTCGACGAACCGATCGGAGAACCATTTAAAGCACCCATGCACCATCATCAACCTCGCCGAATAACTCGAAGTCAATCTACCTTCAAAACCAAACCCATGACTCCCGAGGAAGGACCTTACATTAATATCACTGTTGATGATGAGGAAGAGTTCATACCACCACCAGGGTTCGATTGGCATTCACATAATCAAGAAGAAGATGATACGAACCCGCTGGACATAGTAGCAGCCGTGACCGAAGTATCAACCCAACCGAGTTCATTAACAGGTAAAAACCTTGTTTTCACCCCTGATTTGAACATTCCCTTTGTTGACCTAGAAGAAATAGAGGCAAGCATTGGCCAAATGTTGCACCAAACCTTAAATGTGTCATTCCAAGCCACCAAAGAAATCATTGGTGATGATTTTAATCAAATGTCAATCACACCATATGTAGAACCTTTGCCCTCTTTCACTTACTTTGATGAAACCCTTTTCACAAACCTACCCAATGTCATCATCTTGAACTCAAGAGGTGAGACCATCTCCAATAACCCCACTGCCTTCTATCAAGTCTGGAGTGAAATGGAGTAAGCTGTTCTTGCCAATAATCCCTTAGCACTTTCAAACCCCCCCTATACCACACCACTGTTTGACAAAAATTACAGCCATTCACTTTCCAAGAAAATATCACAACTCACACCTTTGTCCCTGATCACTCTTATCCTCATCAATCTAATCCAATGACATTGTGAGAATGGCAATAAAAAAAGGTGAAGACTATTGCCACCAAAGTACCTAGGCCACCAAAAAGAAGAAGAATTTTTTCCATTAACAATCAAGGTGTTTGGAAGAGTCTGGAAAGGCAAACAAGACAGCAAGCAGCTAGAAGAAAAGACAAACAGCCTCTTGGAAGTGCACCAACAGCTTGTGATGAACCTCACTCACCACCTCAATAGCAAGCTGCTGGCAATGCACAAGAAGGCTCAAACCACTCACATCAGGTAAGCTATTTGGACTTATTCAGCCCCCATAAGCTTTAAAACAACATAAGATCTTTGCTGATAAGATTGGTCAAACTCCCAAGGGATTCAATGAGTATGATATTGTTGCATTCCCTAAGATTAAGCATATCATTGACAATTTTGAATGGGACATTTTGTGTGTTGTCCCCTGTGCTTATAATTTGGATTAGGTGAGAGACTTCTGTTTGAGAGACTTCTAAATAGAAGTCTCTATCTCTAATAACATAGAGTTAATGGTTAGGAAAACGCCAATCAGTTATTAATTTGCTACAATCAACAGATTGTTGGAACTCAATCCCCTGCCAACCACTTATGTTTGCATTATGCACACCTTTCTTTAAGCATCAAAGCTTATATACATGCAAACCATATACATAAAAATCAAGAGCAAAGCTTTATTGTGTTTGCATACAAAAGTGTCATAGATACAAAAGCACCAAAGAGTCCAAAATGTACCTCAAAATAAGAAGCATGTCAGCAAAGCTCTATTGTGTGTATCATATGTAATGGAATAATAGTATCACATGTGATTGTCTATAGAAAAAGGGTGTTCTCGCGTTCTCGTAAAATGAAGATGTTCTAGTTTGAACCTATATATATACACACACACAAACATAAACAAATGATCGTGTGAAAAAAGAGTTACAGTGAAAAGTATAAGAAAGAATCTAAAATCATATAAATAGAAATGACTGGAATATAAAGTAAAGTTAGGTAATAAAATTACAAGTAATCTAATGTGATAACTGAATTCTGGTTATCACCCGAGGTAATAAATACGTGATTATCTGATTAAATGATTTCGTTATAGCATGATAAATTGGTATATTTAATCATGCTAGTATGTGAAATTATGTGCATAATGTTGATGCATGTATGAGGTTATGTGTAATTGTGGGTGCATATATATGTATGATATATATATATATATATATATATATACCCACATGCATGATATATATAGATGCATGATGTGTGTGTGTGCATATAAGTGGGGAGGAGGTGAAGGCTGTTGCAGCCGACTTTCCAGAAAAGGAAAGTAGAAAAGGGGGTGAAGCCCCCATCATCTTCTTCTTGCCACTTTTGCTATTTGTTTGAACGATTTAAAGAGAGAGGTTGACCGGATTCTTTTTGGAGCAAAGTAGATTCAAATTGTTTTCAAAAGGCTTTTCAAGGTGAGTGATTCTTACTACTTTTAAAGCTCTTCATAGTTTTATAATTGATTGAACTTTACTTTTGATTTAAAAGTTATCCGTTGAAGTGTTGTCCGGATTAAGTCATAAATCGGACAAGTGCCAAGCGATTTAGCCATAAACCGGATAAGGGTTGGGCGATTTAAGCCGTAAATCGGTTAAGGCTTAAGCGATTTATAAATAAACCGCTTGGTGAGTGTTGTCCGGATTAGACCTAAACCGATCAAGAGTTAAGCGGTTTAGTC